CCGGTTGGGGTGAGAGAAGGAAGACAGGATAAAAGACATGCTGTGGAAGAGAGACAGAGGTTAATAACAGATATGATTTAATGCAGAGAGGTCTGTTAATACATATAACTAAGGGAATATATATACTAGCTTCCTACACATAATTCGGAAATGACAAAGTATGTGAAGGTTATGAGCCGGAGGGGAACAATGTGGATAGAACATGATGTGCAACTATAATTACTACATTTTACATATTACATTTAGAGGGTTTTTTTTGCTATATATAGCCCTACATAAGCACAAACAGGGTACACGCTTATTAGTAAGTTGATGGATTTACGTTAAGCTCATCAAAATGTTGTTTGTAATAAATGTATGAAAGCAGCATAAGTCTATCCCAGCACCAGTATATCTTACATTGACTGTTTCCTGCCTCACTTCATGGTCTTGGATTTAGTATATATTGTTGCTTCCTTCATCGTGCCTTGCAGCTATGCTTCATATTGTAAAACCCGCTCCCTGGTTTAACCATTACTCTGGGATATATCAGAGCAGAAATTCTTGGAAGAGCTCCACATCCATTATTTTCTGCCAGCCCTCCAGATTGTGCTGCTTGCAGGGAGTGTAAGACTGCATTATGGACTGATAAAGCAAGAAAAAGTGCTCAAAGAAATCTGCTGAACTGCAGAGCAGCAGAATAGAAACCCTGGACGTTTTGTGTACATTTGCACATCATAAGGTTTTAATCATACATTATGGCAGAAGAAGTCATCGCCATCTGTAGTTCCACACATCCCTGTATGCTGTTTTCCAGCAAAGCAACCAGAAGACCATTCCCCTTTAACGCTGACTGATTACGGATGACGGCAATGATTTCAGGCCTCCTTTGCATCTGACATTACCATGTTTCTCATATCCAGAGCATCCATATGGTTTTACTTCGATGAAAGAATTTCTGTGAGAAAGAGGTCTGTTCGGCACAGCTGTTCTCATTACAGCTGTGGTCAGTGTCACCACCATCGAGTCGCATTCAGATGTGGAAGTTGAGAGCAATGGGAAGGAGTTCAATTATCATCTCAGCTCTGATCTGTATGGAACCACAACGTAAGAGAAATGAAGACGTCTCCTTCAAGGGAGAAGCACCGGCTGCCAGCTAACTGTCAACTCTTTTTTTCTTAATGTAGTTATTAATGGATTAATGGAAATGAGAGTGAATCCAATATTGCTGTCATCCTTCTAGAGATGATGGTGCGTTTTTTTTGTCTGTCCGAATTCAGCCATGTGTATGTTTACTACAGCTTTTTTATACTGCAGTATCTGGCAGGAAAAAAGTAGATCCTACGTGTTCTGAGTGCAGCATTGTGGGACAAAGCCAAAACTGAATTAAATTAGGGATGGTAATATTTAAAAATCAAATGCTTTCCGTTTATGCATGGAAACCTTGCAGCAAAATAAAAATGTTAACTCCCAACATTAACAGATTTCAAGAGGTGTAGAATGGGCTTTTTCCACCAAACTCACTGTAATTTAAATCTTTTAAAGCCCCACTGTGTTACATTTAGTAGAGTCTTCCCTGCTGCTAACAGTCATTTCCATAAAATTTAAACTTACTGCCCCCTCCCCAAACAAACTTACATAATACAGTGTGAGTCAGGAGACATAAAGTATCTTCTCACTAAAAGATAATCGAAAAATCCACAAAAGCAACCAAAACTTTATTTATAAACCACATTTTCACAGGTTATTTACAGTAATTGCACAGCTACCACTGAAGTCGTAGCCATAAAATGCAGATTATGTAGATTAAGTACAATTAAAACAGTAGACACGACTAAACACGATTGACATAAGCAAATGTGAATAATTCAGGGAGAACAGCAGTGCAGTGGTTAGCCCTAGAGCCTCAGCGAAAAGCTCCTGGGTTAAACTTCAGTGGCTAGCTGGGCCCTGTCTGTGTGAAGCCTTGCATGTTCTCCCTGTGCTGTCCAGGTACCCCAGCATCCTCCCACAGTCCAAAGACAAGCATGTTAGGTTGATTTGTGATCCTATGTTGGCCGTAGGTGTGAATGTAAGCATGAATGGTTCTGTTCCTGAGTTTTGATGCTGAATAACAACCAGAAAACCATTTTTCAAGAGCATGATGTAATAGTGAACTTGACCTTTGACCTTCTGGATGTAAAATCGGACCTCTTCATTTCATCTAATCAGCCAGTTGTGTGAAACTGTGGAGTTAGGTGTGAGAGTTATCACTGAAAATGCATTTCGAACACCTGACCCCAGTCACTGAATAAAAACCTTCCACTATGGCATATTTGTTGACCTATGACCTTGACAGTTGAATTTTTAAGTTTAAAGGTCTCATTCAAGACGCTTCAAGAGATATTTTGGACATCTCAAATACATAATGCTTGCTTGCACATCTGATGCAAATGGAGGTGAAAAAACTGCAATTTCCTCAAATTTTACAAGAACATGAAATAAACACATCAAAAACACACCATGATCTACTCATATTTTTATTAATCTGTTTTATTAATCTGAGTCATTTGAACTGTTCATCCTTGCATAAAGTGGGGAATCCACTGCAGCTGTTGGAATAAAGTTTTCTTTCCGACCCAAAATTATTTCGTTATTTATCTGTGCTGATGTGTCACATCCTGACTAAGAGCAGTTACCGTAGACCGTACCGTAATCTTACTAACGTCAACTGTGGAGGCAGAGTTCTGCCAAACGTTCATTAGCTGGAGAGTAAATATTGCTGCATGTCAACAGTTACTGTGGGCTGAACAAGTGTCAGGGTGGAAAATAATACAATATGTCCTAACAAAGAGGAGGAGAGGAACATGACTCAATACTTGCGCTGCAGAAGAAGAACACAAACTTAGGATAGTTTAGTGTGGAACTGTGATTTTACTCACCAACGTCTGATTGTTTGTAGCAGACTTCTGCTGCTCGCTCCAGCTGCAGCTTGAGGCTACGCTTGCTGATAACTCAAATGTGGGGCATTATTTTAAATGCAGGACTTGTAGGACCTGATGGCAGTTTCACACCTGCAGATAAAAAGATAGTGGAGGTGAAACTTTCCCTAGATCCAGTGTCTGTCAGCAGCTTGGAAGTGTGTCACTATAATGAAGGCTTTGATCTTGAATAAGATAAACCTCCCGCATAGAGCAAAGATGAAAGGTTTAAGAAAGGCCTATAGATTTCTTCGGTGGCTTAATTGAGGGTTTCTCTAAAAAAAAAAAAAAATTAGAGGACAGCTGCTTTAAGTATAACACACTGTAGCTTGTGCACCTGCACTGTGTGCAAAAAAAGGAGAAACATTAAGCTGTTTTTTACTGTCTGCAGGTTGTTTATCCACTGATGTTGATGATATGAATGACATTTAGTGCAGAGGACTGGTGTAGATTATGTTACCCTGTTTTCTATCACTTTCAGGAAATCTTCTTAGAGAAGGAATAAAATCCAAGCTCGCTTCTTTCATGAGCTGCTGTCCAACTGTGTTTCTCACAAAGTTTGTAGATGTTTTTTTTCCTTTACATGATTTCATGCCAAGATTTCCATTTTATGTTACACACCATTTGTGGGAGTGCATCTCTACATGTGGAACCAATTTGCTGCTAGCTAATGAGTTTCACAGGTGGCTGAAGTTGTTGCGTGCTACACTGTAGTTGGAAACAGAGAGCAGATACTGCAGTTTGACAAGGCTAGGTTACTGTTGCCTACATTGTTACTGAGGGCACAAATGTATTAGGTTACATGTTTACCTTTGATTATGTTTTTTTTTTTTATTATCGAGTGATATCTAAATTGAAGCAGCAATTGAAGCGTAACTTAAATGTGTGGTGTGATGTTTTCATTTCAATCCAAACTGGATTACTTTTCACTGAATTCTGTTAGAAATATGAAGGAGATAAAGCTGAATACAGTGGGAATATAATGTACAGTGTGTTACATGCTGTATTTTCAGAACTGCTGATGTAATTTTTCTGCAGAATAGAAATGGATTACACCACAGCTGTTTGAAACCAATTGCAAAAAAATAAATAAAATAAGGGCTAGCTTCAGCCTTGGGGAGAGAAAAAAGAAATAAGAAGAGGAAAATGGAATATTCTGTGAGTGAGTCACTGGGTGAAGGGTGGGGTGATGTCCGCCTAGTCTTCATAGCTGAGAGAGAGCAAGAGCATGCAAGAGAAAAAGAGAGAGAGAGAGTGTGTATGTCTGTTTGTTGGGGGTGGAGGGTGGGGATACCGGGACACCACGAAGATCAGTAGGGCCTTCTGGACCTATGCTGTTGTTCTGAGCATAAATACACAATAACACGTGCATGCGGGGCAACTTAATACACACTCTCAAAGAATTCAAATAAACTTTCCTTTGCTTATTTCTTGTGTTTGCTGAGTGGACTGTTGTCCTCAGTCCAGGGTCACGCCTCACTGTGAGCTCAGACTTTTGCAAATGAGGATGTAAGAGTTTGGTTTTTCATCTTGGTGCATCAAGCAACTGACACGTGTTGAGTAAAAATGTGAGTAAAAGTCCAATAAAAGTGGTAAGCTTAGCAAATTCACTTATGTCCTTCTTTTCATATAATCTGTATCTGACTTTTTGTGCTTATTTCTGGTCCATATATTTAGTCTTGGACGCTACTTAACTAGCGCTGCATAGTTTATATTTTACAGTAATCCTTATTTATCTCATAATGAGCCTTTATGTAGCCACTCTTTTCATCTACTGTTACCAAGACTGAGACACCCTTTGTTTTAAGACATGTTTCTTTTGATTGGTTTCTCCTCATGAACGAAAGGTTTGAACAACAGGTGGGTGGGGTTTCTGAGCTCACTGCTAGAACTGTCTGCTTGATAATAGCATACTGTGGATTAGTGGCATGTGGTAATAGAAATATAACTGAGAGACAATGCCCATTTTTAGGTTTACTGGGCAAGCACCATTAGCCTTGCTTCCCCTCTCTCTTTGACATGCAGAGATAAGAAGAAAACTTTTTTTTTTGAAGGTAAGTGCTTAAAACAGTCTTAAGCCTGAGCTCTTGCACCCAAGTATTACTATTCATACAGTTACTCATTACTGGATATTTTGTTGTGACATGGTGCAGTGTAAGGCAAGCAGGAATAGACCTAAAGGTGCAGGACTCACATGCAAAACTAAACTTAAATGCAGCTTCATTGCTGAATTACCGAATACATTAACCAATGATGTCACAAGGAACTTAAACCGAGATAGACTAAGCAGACAGAACACAAAAGCAGAGGATGCAGGAGATTGCGACAAGGAACAGAGGGAAATGCAGACTATTTATATACACAATGTATCAGTGCAAAGAGGTAACACCCGTGGAACAAGACTGGACATAATCTAACTGACGAGACAGGGGAAGCAAAACTGAACATGACGCACACAGGACAAATGACTATCAGAATAAAACAGGAAACAGACAGAGTCCAGCTGCAGGAAAACATGGGAAACACACACAGAGACTCAGACTGAGTAAACACAGGGAACGGAGGGAGGAGACAAGACTAGGAAGACACAGAAGGAGGGCGAGAGAGAAGAGAGGAACCAGACAAGAGTTGGGAAACAGACAAATTAACACAAGACACGACTGACCTCACAGACAGACAAATAACTAACACAGAAAACCAGACACTAGAGGATGACGACCACTCACTTAACCACGTAAAAAGAAAATCCTGAATAACAATAAATACAAAAACTAAAATATAAGGATAACAAACTAGAAAACTAAACATTCCCAACACTCAAAACCCCGTGTACAGACCCAGTTACCATGACATGCTGTATATAAAAAGGTTAAACTCTGTGGAACTACATCATCACAAGAAGCACACAAAGCCAAGCTGTTAACTCTACACTATTGTCATCCATACTTTTTTCTCTGTCAATATAAAACATATTCATTCCAAAAGCTCTTTTTAACTCCACCTTGAAGTGATCAAAGAAAGCATTTTTCTATTCTGCTACAATTTTTTCTCTATTTGAATGAAATTCATATCCAGCTGTTGCTTGAAGTCAGCTGGCTAAGAAATGGTCGACCAGATGGTTGATGTGTTAGGAAGTTCCAGAATAAACCATCGTGTGTGTGTGGTGTGTGTAAGTGTAAGGTAACTGCAAAACTTTACTTGTTTAGTTGCACAGATTTTATTTTAAAACACAAATACTGATGATGTTGACAATTTAAAAAATAAAACTACCTGGTCATTTTCTGGAGAATCATAGCCAGTTTTACAGATGTCGCCCTGGCTGATACACACCTGTCACTTTCACTGAAAATATGAAGCAACCTTTTACAGCAACATTAGCTGCCCCACATTTCAGCAGTAGAGAAATCAAATCAGTGGAAACAGGTCATTAAGACAGCTGCATTTCATAAACCTCTTGTGGAGTAATGCGGTGACGTTGAAATCTTTTCTTTTTCTGCAGCTATTATAGTTATGTTGAAATCAGCTAATCCAGAAATGACTGATGGCATAAAAGCAAACCGCTGAGCAATTTCAAACACATCCAAGCACCACATACTGGTAGCACTAAATGCTTTGTTCATTTGTCTGTGCCACTTTTCAAGCTACTGGTGAATAAAAGGAAGACAGCAAAAGCAGGATATCCTCCAGGATATAACTGCATGCTGTAGGCATAGAGACACTGCCAAAACAAAATAGTTACAATATCCACTTTTTTATCCTATTGAGAGCTTGAATGGATATTTCATTTTGAAGTCCTATACAGCAACTCCAGCCTATGAGTCACTTCTCAACTGACCCACTTCTTTTTTGAGTGTGGTGTGAACTTTGTAAAACAACCAGGAACATTTTGTTTCTACCCACAAGAAACTGGTTTTCAGCCTCTAACCACTTTAACCGCTTTCCTCTGCTCATTTTGCCCAAATCCTCGTGTCAACTTTGACAGGAAGTCTGATGACACCGTAATCTCTGTCTCACAGTTGCTCTTAAATTCCACTGCTACTCTCTTTCCTAATTCCTGTAACTCCAGCAGTAGTCTGCATTGACCTTTTTCTTCTTTATCTCAGTGCTTAAACTTTTCTTTTTACCCCTCTTATAACTAATTTACTAAAATATATATTTAACAGAGAAAAGCAACCAACTGTCAGCACAGTTTTTCGAAATGTGCATCCGAGGACCTGCTGTTAAAATGTACCTGGTTTTCTACTTAACCATACTCCACTTTGCACAAATGTAGCATCTTCAACACTACCACGTGTGGATTTGTTTCACACAAAAATAACTTACATTTATGCTAAAATGAATTAATGTATAACTGATATTCAATTGTTTTTTCTTTTCCATCTTATGGTTGCTGTTCAGCTGAATATCCCAGCGGTCATGGGTTAAGAGGCCGGGTGCACCTTAGACAGGCCACCAATCTATTGCCGGGCTAACACGGAGAGACAGACAACCTCCACACTCATGCAAATTATTGTAAATCCATGTTCTTAACTACTTAATCAGGTGAAAAGTTGCTTTTGTAATTTGTATGCTGCTCTAAATTATTATTCAATATGAAAACATGAGCAAAAAGTACAAATATGTTCCATGTGTTGCATTAAAAGGAAAGTCTTCCATAACTCTGTTACCCACTGTACTTGCAGGTCCATATGGTTACATATTTAATTTGACTTTGCCAGTATCACTGGAACTGATGTTTATGTTACACTGCTACCCATGCTGCTAAGGTCAGGAGATCATGGTAGCCTTTTTCTTTCCATTCAATTACAATAGGAGGCAGAGTCCAGAATGAATCTATGCATGAAAATATTTCTAGTCAGAAAAATTCTTCTCTTCTCCATGACTGAAGCGGATCAGGATCTCATCCTATTATGATTCCAAGTTGGCTATTATGTGTAGACACAACACGGGTTCAGTCCTTGAGTTTGGTGTCTTTTATATGTTTGAATGACTCATTGGTTTGTGGCTTAAAAACCAACCAAAAGCAAACATTCCTCTAAAATTGGTCAGGTACATGGACTAGAATGAAAAGCAGCCAGTTTCAAAAGAAGGCT